CAAGGGTCAAATTAATAAAAATAACACGGTTAACATATACAAAACACAATATGAATTACAGATTGAATGCAGTTCTGAGGAGGTGAGATTTGGGGACGGACTAGCAGAAAGAAAACGTCCAAAATACACATTTAGATTTCTCCTAAATTAGCAATAGTTAATACCTTATTTGCATATTTAAACATGACTTCTATGAACTACATTGCCTTAATGTATGATATCTACCGAGGAAGTTTCATGATGATCTGTATAAGTTACTTTTGTTTACCCTATTCACCTTTAGTGCCTTCCCTTAACACCGTACCGTTTCTGGAATAAAGCCATAACAAAAAGGTGAGCTCCTTCCTGTATGGCGGAGCAGCTTTAATGTGATTCTCAGCTCTAATTAGAGTTAAGTCACTTAGTGTGTTGTAATGATGTTTGGCTCACAGAGCAGCAGACGCCGTCCATCAGCCAAATGAAATATTAAACTGACCTACCGCTGGATTACGTGTGTGTGTGTGTTTGTGTATAGATTCATACTGTGTCAAGAGACCTCTGTTGCACACTGTGCGTCCGTTGCTGCCACATACAGTAAACACACACACTCAAAAAGAAACACATACACACATTACTGACCTACATTCACAATACACAAACAACAGGGTGTCAGGAGGGCAGGGCAACAAACCTGTGTGTGGTGTGGTGTGGTGTGTGTGTGTGTGTGTGTGTGTGTGTGTGTGTGTGTGTGTGTGTGTGTGTGTGTGTGGTGGTGTGTGTGTGTGTGTGTGTGTGTGTGTTGGGGGTGAAAATCTGCAGGTGCACTGGGCCGTGAATCTAATGCAGAATGTGTGTTATCTTGCTGCGAAATAATTCATGATCCCGCATCTGAAAAAATGATAGCAGAATGGCTTGACTCGTCCTCCCCTCGGTCTTTGTCACTCTCCCCCGTGAACCATGATTTATTCAAAATGTCACATGGAGCAGAAACTCGTAAATAAGTACAGCTACGATTGGCAATTCTCTGCTTTTGATCCCAAGGGACTTTTAGGCCTGATTCGAGCCACAGCCAGTAGATAAAGGGAATTATATTTAGCAGTTTTTGTCACAGAACCTTATTTTCCTGTGTATTCAGTCCTGCGTTGGTATCAAGTGTCCTTTCATCACAAAGCTTTGTGTTACTCTGCTTCTACCTGGGAACGGGAGATAGTATTTTTTGTAAATTGTGAAGAAAAGCCAACAGACTTGACTTCTCTTCCACTGGCCAGAGCCCAGTTTAGTGTGTTTACTTTATTGTAGGTCAGTGTGTGCACACCCACTAACTACAGCCAGGGCCTCAGCATATAAAACCCTAAATAATATGTCTACATTTAGAGAAATCATCGGGTGTCGCTGTGGAATGCAACACCATTGTGGTGAGGCGTTTTCACAAAAGAGCAAACAACCGCTGGAGAAAGCCAGAGAATCAGGGACAATATACTGGAGTGATATAAATAATAGTGTTAAATGTTGCTTTGGAATTGCACGAGGGCCTTTCCTGCTATCGCAAAATTGTGCTGTGAAAAGGGCCTTTCTCTCATCTCAATAAAGTAACACCAAAAGTCATACCTCATAGATTTCCTTCACTAACAAAGCTATTTAAATACATACATAACATTATGTATAACTGTTCTCTCCTGCGATTTGATTGGATGTTGTTGGGGTGGTCAAACAGACACAATAAAGGGAATTTAACGGATTTAAATTCATTTTTAAATAGCATACTTTTTAAAATCCTTAGGTTAGGGAAGGTATTTTCAAGGCAACGGGTTTAAGTCCTTTGTGTTCAGTTCCTAGTCAAGTCTTTTTTGATTTTGTAAGATGAGTCTAAAGTCATCCAAATCTCTGCGATCGTCTTATCTAACTCTCGCCAGGAATGAAAATAGACTTTTCCCTGGAATGTCAATCTATTATAAAAGAAATGCATAAAAAATGGAACTGTGATGGAAATATTTGAGAAGACATCTACTGCAAACTTTAATGTGTCACTGATAGTTGAGTCCATTACTAAATATAACCCTGAGGAAATAAAATAAGATCTTAAAGACACAATTTCTCTGGATATCGCTACGCTGTAATACTGTCGAAAATGTCTCGACTTACTACTTAAATACTGGGGGGGATCATTTGAGAATGAAGCCTTGATGCTACGCAGGCTCCATATGATCTTTGTTTTGTCCTGATAAACAACATTTGACAAGAAGCACAGACTAAAAGAAAGCCTTCCTCCTCTGATAACCTAAACACACTCGCATGCAAAGACACATGATTGCATATACATAAAGCCACATGTCCAAGTTGATCATATTTGCTGGTGAAGTCCTATGATTGTAACATAAACAACATGCTTCACCAAGAGGGAGGTCTGAGCCCTGTAGTCACCTGAGTGTTCGCAGACATGAAGGTGTGTGTTTACCAGAGTGTGTGTGTCCTCTCGTGTAAGGAAAACGTTCGACCTTGCTCTGCTCTGCCAGACTACAAAGTGACTTCATCTTTTGTTGAACCATCACATCTCCCCGCCGCCTCCCCCAGCAAAGCCACTGCCATTTAGAATAACAGATGAATAAATGGACGAGGGGGAAAAACAGAGGACCGAAACCACAGTGGAACTCAGTAATGGTCAGCCAGGCCCACCACGCCTCAGCAAATGTTTGTCCAAACCTGTTATTTCTGGCATTGTACTGTCTCAAGGAGATCATTTTATTCTCCGGGAGGAATGCAGCGGCTATAAATAGTGTGGAGATGAAGGAGGGGAAATCAGAGATTTGTAGAGTAATTACAGAGCCAGAGTCAAACCCTTCTGTTATGGCTCATTTTTCATCAACCTCTGTCTCCACGACTGTCTGACTGACTGACCCACTGAGGTATAATGGACGCTTTCTCCATGGGAAATGCATGTCTGACCTGATATTTGACCTCGATTTGTTCTGCTTTTATCCACTAAAGAGTCAAGATTTAAAGGAACAGCTGACATTTTAATAAAGAAGCTTGAGAAGATTAAAAACTAGACATTTGACATGTTTGGTTGGTTGGTTTCTGCCTGTTTGTCAGCAGGACAACGGAAAATACTGTCTCGATATTTATGAAACTTTGTGAAAGGGTGTAGCATGCTCCAAGGAAGAACCCATTACATTTGTGAAGGAAATCACAGGATGAAAGATTGAATTATTGTAACTTTTTTAAAGCTTGCAAGATAGATTGGTGCTACTAGTTTATGATAACATCTCGCCCATTAAATCAAAACATGTGTCAGTTATTTGTCACATGTTCGGAGGACCGTAGATTCTCACAGAGAGTGGAAACTTTCAGAAACAACCAGGATTTTTTAGTTCAAGTCCAAACCCCTTCACCCCAGCATATCCATCAGTGTCAGAGTTGCGTCAAACAGTCGAGACATTAACCATCGCTTCCCTCTGGAGACGTTGAAACTGATTGAGATTTACCTGCCGTCTTATTCTGTTTCTCTCTGGTCCGTTCCCCTCACATTACTTACATCCTGACATTTCAGGTAAACAAGGCGGACGACAGAATGAATGGCAGGAAGGAAAGTGTTTTATGGAAACAGGAAGTAAACGTTTGAGTTTGTTTCACAGGGCTTTAGTCAAAACCGAATCCACAGCAAATTGAATCAAGATTAAATGAAATATGAAAGAAATGGCCCTATTAGGGGCTTATAAAACATACCCATTTACGCGTCACACTCAAGACCAAGACAATTTAAAAGAAAAAAGCCCAAGACAAGTGTGCAACTAAAAGAAAGTGGTCTTGATTCGAGCCTATGGAGTTGTTTTTTCATATGGGGAGAAAATAGATGCCTCGAAAATGTACAAAAGCAGCTACTCCTGTAAATAAAACCCTAACACTCTTCTCTTTTGTTTTTTTGTCCAAACTCAGCCAGTCAAGTTGCTCTGACAGCACTTGTGTCTTTAAATGATCTTCGTGGAGAATAAAAAGACGTTTTAGCTGGTAAATTGCTGTAATTATCAAACATGCCCTTCTCATTTCGCACAGTCAGACCTCGTTGGCAAATTCACCCGACAATTAAGAGAAGCGGGAAATGAATGACATGTAATGGTGTGACTCACATTACTCCGATGAGGACAAACAATCTGAAAAAGGAGGTTGTATTGATGGGAAATTTGAAGAATTAGTCACTACTAACTTTTTGAAGAGAGGAAGGTCATTTAAAACAATAGTATTGATGGGATCTAGAGCAACCTAAAACCCTGTCCTTCCCAGCTATCACTGGTGGCTTTTCTCTCTGTTGGAGGCAGGCTTTGTAGTGACGCTTTGTTGTGGTCTCAGGGAGGAGGTGGAGGGAGATGCAAATGACAGTGTTTCTCAGCACTTTGTCGCCAATTATAAAGAAATTATAGCTCCATGAGGTTTGTACGTAACAAATAAAGTGGCGTCTTGAGAATCGAAAGTGGAAAAATTAGACTTGTGTGGAAGCTCTTCCTGTTATCTGGTTTATGAAAACTCCATTTATTTAACCCTCATTAATTCATTTAAAAAGACACATTGTCACAGCAGGTTTGACACTCCTGCATTAAATGGGAAGAAAATGACCACACACAGTATGCTACGTTTAGGAAAAACATAAACAGATGTAGACATGTCGTGATATGTTAGTATAACCTACACTTTTCATTATCAGATACTTAAAGAGGGCATGAAGACGTCCTTTCAAGACCTTTGTATTCACAGAGGAATGGCGCCCCCTTGTGGGCAGCATCCTCTACTGCACCATGATGATGTGTAGCCTTCTACTTACAAGACAGAAATGAAAAGGGAAACCCTATTTTTCCCACGTAGGTCCCAATTTCTATGTTTGATTGGATGTATTTAAAATACTAGTTCAATTTAAGATTGTATAGCATAATAATCTAAAAAATAAATGAATTAACAACATGTTAACTAGCCATTGGAAGGTCACCAGGTGAGTCCGATGGCGAGGATAAAGGTGGAAGAATCGACCAATCACCTTCCCCTCACTCGCATCCTGCGCTCCATGGATGAGCTGAGCGTGAGTCGCACCTGGAGGAAAAGTTAGAATACAAATAAAATGAAAAATACTATATCAAATGAATGCGTGAAGCTAATTTCCAGGAGCCTCGTTAAATCTTTACTGATGCAAACTATAATCCTTCTAAAGAAAAGTGGGCTTATTAACACTGTTCTATATTTGAACATATATATTTAAGAAGTACAATAGCAGATGTTTAATTTGTGGGTCACATTTCATTATACTTTTTGAATTTGCTGTAGTTTGGACACCCCTGATTTAAGAGATCGTTGTAGCAGGAACTTATTATATTTGACTTGTCGTGTCTAAGATGGCTGATTGTTACAAGTCTTCTCCGCTCAGTCTCCCATGACAGCTGCAGCTAAACGCCTGAAATGTCAATGCAGAACGTGTGTAACAGAGCTGAGAAAAGTTAATTACAGTCTTCTCCTCTGAGGGACGTGAAACTCTTTATCTAACTCGAGAGGCTGCTTTTAAATCTGGCGGTGCAGCCGGCAGGAAACCACTCCAATACATTATATTCTCCGCTATCTGTGACACAATCTTCACAATGCTTCGTGTATTCATATTTCAATACATGCAAAGTCACACTTAGAGAGGTTTGAGTACCTTGAATACTATTTAAGTAAAATATTGCTATGTCTGCAGTGCATATGACTGAATGTGTGTGTGTATTTCAGGTGAGTGTGAATGTAAAAAGCCATATTGGGGGTTTCTACCAGGACATCAGCCGTCTGGAGATCACAGGTACTTTGTCCTATTTCATATCTCCATCATTTTGTTAGACATGGTAGTAATTGTATTTAGTTGTGGAAGAAATTGACTTTTAACGTCATTTTTCTTCAGGACCTATCCTCCCCTCGTCTCTCCACACAATCACCAACCTCCTCCGGCTGGCACAGAAGGGACACTTCTCCTCTGCTCTCTGCACACACACTCCTACCGCTGCCATGAACACACACACCACGGAGCAGCAGGTAAGATTGCCTTAAATGGAAGGCTCACATTTGGCCAGATCTTATTTTCTTCCACTTTTTGATGAAATAAAAGCGATGGACGCTCACATCAGTTGGAGATACTGATGGGTTTATAAGGGGGTCACCCACAAAACACTTTTTTAAATCATATTGTGCTGGAAAATATGGAGAGAAACGTCCTTGCATGGCATTTTAAAATATGAAAAAGTATAGTGTACTTTTAGAATTTGTTCCACATGTATCCACCCACTGGATGCCAGAAATGTTCCTATGATGTGTGTGTATAGCTTCACCTGGTGGTCACTCACTGCACATGCTCTCCCTCCTCCTGTCTGCAGAGCTCTGCCGGCTCCTCGGACCTGTCTGCCTGTGGCCTCCACCCTGCCTCCATCCACATTTTATTGTATTTGAATATCTATATATGTCTGGCATGTATTGTGAATGTGTTTTTAATGTTGATATATTGTTTCATTAATATGTTTTAAAATGTATTTAATGACTTGTAATTCGTTTTTCTTGATGACGTATTTTTTAATACGTTTAAATCAAATAAAATGAATGTTTTAAAGTTGTGATTCAAGACCATCATTCATGGTGATGCAAAAAAAGTTTGAGGAAAATATTAAAAGAAAACGACATAGTATAGTTTGTTGAAAATATGGGGAAAAAACCATAGTATGTAGAAATGTTTCTATATTGTTTTATGTCAAAGATTACTATACTATCTATATATAGATTACTGAGGTAATGGTTTTTGGAGCCAAGTCAGAACGTATAAAAGTTAGCACTGAGCTTCAGTCTGCAATGTTCAAAACAACAGATACAGCCAGAAATCTAGGTGTAGTCATGGACTCTGACCTGAGTTTCAACAGTCACATTAAAACTGTTACTAAATCAGCCTACTATCACCTAAAGAATATATCTAGGATTAAAAGACTAATGTCACAGCAGGATTTGGAAAAACTTGTCCATGCTTTTATCTTCAGTAGACTCGACTACTGCAATGGTGTCTTCACAGGTCTCACTAAAAAATCTATTAGAAAGCTGCAGCTGATTCAGAACGCTGCTGCTCGAGTCCTCACTAACACTAAGAAAGTGGATCACTCCAGTTCTGAAGTCTTTACACTGGCTTCCTGTGTGTCAAAGAATATATTTCTAAATACTGCTGCTGGTTTATAAAGCACTGAATGGTTTAGGCCCAAAATACATTTCTGACCTCCTGCTAAATGATGAACCATCCAGATCTCTCAGGTCTTCAGGGACTGGTCAGCTTTCTGTCCCCAGAGTCAGAACTAAACATGGAGAAGCAGCGTTCAGTTATTATGCTCCAAATATCTGAAAGAAACCTGCAGGTCCGCTGCAACTCTGACTACTTTTAAATCCATGCTGAAGACTTTTCTTTTTGCCGCTGCTTTTAATTGAACTATTCATATCTTAAACTGCACTGCAACTTTTTATTCATGTACTTTTTATTCATGTCTTTTATCATCTTTTCTTTTTAATGACTGTTTTTAAATGCCTTTGTCTGAATGTCTTTCATTTTTGTAAAGCACCTTGAATTGCCTTGTGTTGAAAGGTGCTATATAAATAAACTTGCCTTGCCTTACTATACTTCCGGGTTACAGGCTCTGATAATGTACACATTTCATACATTAATTATTTTAATACATTTTCTGTTGCTTAAACATGTTTTGTCCATGGAAAAAATGTAAGAAAAAAACGGCATATCGAAAATGTGAGATAAACTATTAACTATTTTATCAGCATTCATTCATAGCCTATAAATAAATGTTTACAATAAATATAAAGTAAACTATATGCGAATAAGACCATTTCCAAAGACTATGACAACAATGATTTGCCATGGATAGCCCAACTTTAGCAGGCACAATTCACTGTTAACAAACTAAACATGAAGATGGTTTATTCTGCCATGGCCCCCCCACAGGATGGTATGACCCGTAGACGCCCCGCCCCCTGCTGGCCAGAGACGCTACCAAGGTCAGCTGACTGATACGGATGACGCAACTTCGCCAGCTCACGAGATGAACACGGAATGGAGTGGAGAGAATAAACAGCGATAACTCGAGTTTCCTGTGATTTAAAAGGTCAGTCAATGGCCAAACGTCCACACAAACTTAACAAATAAGCAAACAAACACATAAGCGAAAAAATATAAGCAAACAAACACATAAGCGAACAAATAATCAAACAAACACGCCGCCGCTGTGTTAGCTTACAGCTATGCTAACGCCCGTACAGTTGCTACAGTCCGGCAGAATGAACAAACCGCTCATTGTCAAATTCACCCGAGTCATGGTCACTTCGAAATAATAAAATACTGTGAGAAGTACCATGACATTTCATACTTTTTTTTTTTAATGGACTGTGTGATATGTTTGCTACTGTAGTTGTCAGTGGATGAGCACTTCCGGTTTACAGGCTCTGATCATGTACACACATCACTTCATACATGAATCTCTTAATACATTTTCTCTAGCCTAAACATGGTTTGTCGAGGTATTTAATCCATTTGTGTTGTATGTTTAGCAGCAGATATACTCTGTCTGCAGTGGTGTTAGGGTGCAGTTTTAATTCATAATGCTCCACCTGGTGGTCACTAACTGCACATGCTATAAGTAGCAATACTACATTTTAAAATGACTTTATCTCCTGCATCAAAATATACTTAAAGTACCAAAAGTAAAAGTACCTCTTATGCATAATGGCCCATTTCAGAATCGTATATATATATACATGATTATTGATGTGTTTTAATCACAACTGGTCAAAGGGGAGCTCATTTTTTCATTTCAAACCTTTATTTAACCAGGTGAATCCCATTGAGATCATCGATCTCTTTTTCAAGGGAGACCTGCAGCAATTCGGTTACACATGAAGACATAAAAACAGAAAACAACAGAAAAACAAAAGGACATCATACAACATAGATACAGGGTTACAATGTGCATAGCTAACGACATGTACAGGTACCAACAGTATCAGATTGCATAGCATCTATCCAAGCTTTAAAAACATGCACTGGAACCAAATTGCTCAGTTTCCATTCTTTTTGCAGACTGTTCCAAGTTAGAGGAGCTGCACACATAAAAGCTTTTTTCCCTAAGTCAGTCCTAGCACTTAGCACATGTATCGAACACTTTGGAAAGATCAATAAACAGAGCTGCACAACTCTGCTTTTTGTCTAAGATATTAGCAATATAATTCACCACTTTCATTGTGGCAGTGATGGTGCTGTGTTGCTTTCTGAAGCCTGACTGATGTTTACATAGGATGTCATTGTTACTTAAACATTCCTTTACCTGTTCACTCACTAGGCTTTCAAGAACCATGGCCAGAACTGACAATGTAGAGATGGGTCTATAATTATTTAATAAGGTGGCCTCCCCTCCTTTTAGTAGAGGCATACTATACATAATACTATTAATCTACTTTTTGTATGTTCATTTTGACCTACTATACAACTTGTTTCATATATACTATGACGTCTTTTCTGATATTTTCATTCTATAGTCAGTACCTACTATACAGACTTCATGGTGTCTTTTTCTTCTTTTCTCCCCACAGGACTGCGAGGACATTCACCTGACATCAACGAAGACGGTGGCTTCTTGAGTTTCTGAAGAACTTACGGTACTATACCTATACCATACGCGTAGCTGTAAAACAAGCTGAAAAATGATCTGGAAAATCTGTCACAGCAGCCAGTGAATGTAGCGTATTGTAAATTGACTTTCAATACTTTTTTATTTTTAGAAAATCATTGTATCTTACTTCTTTCAAGGCTCGACATTAAGGACTGCCCGATGGCCCGGGGCCATCTAGTATTTAGCTCGGGCAATGAAGCCTCACCTGCTGGTTGCCCGATCGGGCAATCTATTATGCCAGTATCATGCAGCTCGGGGATCCAGTAATGAGTGACCCGACAGTAAAACTAAACATATCTATAACTAGTTCAGGTAGTTTGAGAGGTCATTAAAATAGCTACGTGTGATATTCTAACCTGAAGTGTGTTTTGTCCGCTCACCGCTGCATGTGATCATGCAGAGCTGCGTGTCGACTCGTCAGCAGCAGCTGATCTCTCTCTCCCGTCAGATTAGACTTCACTCGCGTTTATGTCCATATCGATCAGATCCAGCTAGTTCTAGCTAATGATATGACTACCTGCTTATTAAAAGACACCTAAACAATAAGTGTCGCTATGCAACCGGGTGAGGTCACAAAGTATAGCGCAGCATTATGCATTTGTTTACATGCCCACCGGAACCCCGAGGCATTACCAACAGATCAACGCACAATCAACCCATACAGGTTTCTCCACATTAAGTGTTAGACATTAGAATCGACTATTCTTGTCTGTCACATAAGTGGCGCAACTGAAGCGGTATTGCGCTAAAGGGAAATTATTTTGACCGAAGAGTTTTAGATTTGCCGGCTAACGGGAACTCTGACGTCCCATTTTGTGTGCTTCGCGGATGCACTCGGCTCCTCTCGACTGCTGCTCGGGTCTGCTCGTCAGCTTCCGGATGAGGAGGCATTCGTTCGACCAACTTACAGTAGATATAACATTACAAACATTTTTAACAGGAGCCATAATAGTGTAAATAATGTTTGTTTTCGCAGTTATAACTGAATGTAATGTTTTCTACTTTTTTACATCTGATGAAGGCATTTGCCTTCATCAGATGGAAAGTGTCTTGACCAACAACTTAAGTATTTCTTATAGCTATGCAGGGCATGCAAGCGAGCAAACACAAACAAGAACAAACAAACAAGTGAAATGAAGAATGGTTCATCTTATAATTCAGTCTAGAGAACCAGACAGCATCTAAGACCTGCAAACATCTAAATGTTTTAGGGGGAGGCCCCCCAAATCCTTCGTGCGTCATTTCGTCCGCGCACATTTTTCAGGGCAATCTCTATTGGGCTCAGGGCCATCTGTAAATTAGTCATTGCACTGTCTTTACAAATTCAGATAT